AGGGCAACGAAGCTGGTGAAGGGTCTGGAGAAGAAGTCTTATGAGGAGCGGCTGAAGGAGCTGGGGTTGTTTAGCCTGGAGAAAAGGAGGCTGAGGGGAGACCTCATCGCTCTCTATAACTACCTGAAAGGAGGTTGTAGCGAGGTCAGTGTCAGTCTCTTCTCCCAAGTAACAAGCAATAGGACAAGAGGAAATGGCCTCAAGTTGCGCCAGGGAGATTTAGATTGGATATTAGGAAAAATTTCTTCCCTGAAAGGGTTGTCAGGCATTGGAACAGGCTGCCCAGGGAAGTGGTTGAGTCACCATCCCTGGTGTAGACCTGTAGGTGTGGTGCTTAGGGACATAGTTTAGTGGTGGACTTGGCAGTGCTAGGTTTACAGTTGGACTCGATGATCTTAAAGGTCTTTTCCAACCTAAATGATTCTATGATTTTAAAATTGAAGTTGTAGCCTGAAGGAATTTGAGCGACAGCAAACCACACTGCAAAATTTAATCCGGTCTTCTGTGATTGTAGAGCCCACTGTGCTGCCAACTGATGCAGGAAATATCTTTTGTCTGGGATTGTACTGGTCTTTATAGAAGCAGTGAATTAGAAATACAAATACGCAGAGTTAAGGAAGGAAGGCAAAGTTGTATTTGAGTTTGGGTTTTTTGATGTTTAGACAAAGAGGAATCTTGAATCTGATAATCAGCATGCATATGAAGAATTGAAAAACATACTGAAAGAGAAAAGTATGTGCATTGACTCAGGTAGCTGACTGTAATAAAGAGATCTTAGGATACAGTCTGTGTGACTGATACCTTAAAGAATCACCAAATTGTACACTGCAGAAAATAGCATTATTTTACTAAAGAAATACATGAATTAAAAGAATATTGTTGGGAAGCTGGCTATAGATGAGAAAAAGATGGTACCTTTAGCAAAGCAAACCACTTACCGATCAGGAAACTTGTGTTGTATATTGATCCTGTCACAAAATAACTTGCCCAGGTTTTTATAACCTCCTTATGTTTCTTTTCTAAATAAAAGATGGACAGGGTGCAGGAGACCTGCCATTTGCCTTATACTTTGTTTTGTGCTGAAAAGTTTGGCCACATATTCAAGGCTGTTTAATATCACACTCTGGCCACTCTTTGGAGAGTTGCCATTTCTTGAAGAGAAGTGGGGTCAGCTTCACAGCACTGCTAGGAAGAAAGTACCCTTGTGTTAATAAATTAAAACTGAATTTAAGGTGTTCAGATTTATGGAGAAAAGGGAGAGGAATTAAGAGTAGAGAGGAAATGATGGGAGAAAGGATGAAAGTACCTTTATCAGTGAGAAAAAAATAACTAGGGAAAGACTTGCAATGCAAGTCTTGTCAGTATATGTGGAAACCGAGCCTAAGTACTTGATTGCTGAATGATGATGCTTTTTTTTTGGTAAGGTGGGTATTACCTGAAGCAGTTGAAGCTTTTTATCAGAGGAGAAGCTACAGAGACAATGAAATTATAAGAATGCCGTATAACATCTCTATTTGACTTTGAAGCTGGGCAGCATAATGACTCTTGAGGAAACACACTGAGAGGGTTTCTTCCTACCGAAGACGCAGTTACTGTAATTTTATTTGTTGCCCTCAGTGTCCTTAGAAGCCATGGTATGCATAAGAGAATGTAAGCAGGAAGACTTCGTATGTGCATACCTGCCACTGGTGTAGGAGAGAACTTGCTGTGCAAATGCTGCAGGATCAGTAGTCAATAGCTTAATGGTGTCCACGCGGTCTCCTTTTTGTTGTTTCTTGAAAACACAAACAAATGTGGATTTCAGAAATGACAGCAGAAATCCTTGCTTGGTTCTGTGACATCTTTACAAATCCTGATGCAAATCCCAGTGAGCAACTTGGTAGTTCTCTGGGGGCAACAGGATTTTTTTTCAATGTGTCTTTGCTTACATGGAACAACAGTTGTTGCAAATCCTGCAGGCTGTAGTCTTTAAATTCATTGTACTAGCAGCTGTCCAGCAGATGGCATCATAAATCATCGAGACCTTTATTTAATCTGTGCTGACCATATACTTACCTTTCTAAATTGATGAATTACATGCAATTAGTCATGAATATGCAACTGAAATTTCTTCTAAGTAAAAGCAGAAAACCTTGTCTTTATGTGAAAGACGGGGAAGGCTTAACTGTTACGGAATTTGTAAGTAGATGACTTGTTGGATTAATTCACTATCTTTTCTATTTATTTCCCCTATTTAGTCTTGAACTGAGAGTTCCATTTTTGGATCATCGGTTTACTTCTTATTATTTATCTCTACCAGCAGAACTGCGAATCCCAAAGGTATGTAAAACTAGGGTTGGACCCAAGTGTAAGCTTACAAATTCACTGATAGGTGTTCTAAGCATGACCAAATTCCTGAATTCAATGGTTAAGTCCTCTACCCAAAGTCAAGCATGCTCTTAAATATTTTGCTGGATTGTTGGACTACTGGGAACCCTTTTCTCACCAGACCTTCTGAAAGGAAACCATTTCTTAAGTGTTTAAAGCCAGATCTTTGTGCTGCAGTTCCCGAGATTCACGACATTGTTTGTTGTTCTGCCAACAGAATGGAATTGAAAAATACCTTTTAAGACAGTCCTTTGAAGATTCCAACTTGCTTCCCAAGGAAATACTCTGGAGACCCAAAGAAGCTTTCAGTGATGGTATAGCATCAATAAAGAAATCCTGGTTTTCTATTCTTCAGGACTATATTGATCAACAGGTACAATACCACTTTTTTTTTTTTCTTTCTTTCACGTTTAAGTGTGTTAGATATGGCTGCCAAGGGGAGGCAGCTCACACACTTAGTTGGGGGAATAAATCTGTGTATGACAGTAACTTGAGCTTCATGGTGGAATGAGCAAGATAAACTTTAATCAACAGCCTTCTAGCTATCTGAGTTGGTTAAAGGCATTTGAGATCCTAGATACAAAGAAATGCTAGAGCCTGACAGAAATGACTGTGTAAGGAAATGAACATCATTTAAGTATCTGGACTGCAAATTAGATTGTGTGTCGGCAAACACAATTTCAGGGTTACATGCAAAGCAGCTGCTTCAGCTGAAGGCACTTGTATGAACTTACTCTGCAGCTGAATAACAGCATAATGACTTTATAATGTCCTTTCTTGTTTGTCATTCATTTTTCCCAGCCATGCCTAGCTAAGCCCTTTTGCTTTTTAAAGCCTCTGCTTGCATTGCTAGCCGATGAAGACTTACAGCATTTTGGCTTTGGACAAAGGATAGTCATCTCTTGTGTGCAGAGGTAGTTTAATCATGGAGAGGAAGGAATAACACCCACTTTTCACCAGAGCTCTGTTCTACAGAAATACGTGTAGTCTGGCCTGTGCACGGGTGCTTGTCTGCCCTACCACCAACTGCTTGTTTCCCATTTTCTTTCTCTAGATCCACAGGCAAGAAAGTAGTTGGATCAGGCGACAGTGTTGTGCTGCCTGTACTGAGCCTGTGTTGGTGTAGCAGGGGCAAATTTATTTCATGGCTGTGAGGAGTTAGACAGCATGTTGGCAGTGGAAGCTAGCTGCTTTAGAAATTGCCTCAACTGGTGCAGCTATTCATCCTCCCTTTCTTAGCCAACTTAGCAACTGCAGGTGTCTTTGCTTCTGCATCCCAGGTCTTTTGTTGCTAAGAGCTTGGTTACACAAGCAGAGTCAACAGCTCTCTGTGAGCTGAAAAAAAACCCAGGAAGCCACTTACATGGCAAAAAGACTGCTTTAAGTTGTTCCGGTTGATTCACAGCAAAGAGAAGGATAGGAAAGAAGTTTTTGTGACCTTACTAACAAAGGTGATTGTAACGCAAAGAGGAGTGGGCTTCACATATAATGCAGAGAGTAATATTAACAGCACTGGAAATAAAGTTATGTATTCATAAAGGTCAAGGGAGCCTATGACAAAAATTCGCCTGTCAGAAACCTCTGCCTCTAGAATAGACGTTTTTTGGGTTTTTTTTAAAAAACCTATGGGCATTCAGTGGTTGGTGAATCCTTGTATGTCTTTAACTTGCAGCAAATTGACTTGTAAAAGTTGAATGTATTTGCAGCTTAACTTGAGTTTTGCTTATGTCTATAGGTTGATGACCTTCTACTGGAAAAGGCAGCAGAGAAATACCCTTTCAATCCTCCTAAAACGAAAGAAAGTTATTACTACCGCCAGATCTTTGAAAAGCACTACTCAGGGCGAAGCAACTGGCTGCCCCACTACTGGATGCCAAGATGGGTTAAAGCTACTGATCCTTCTGCTCGCACGTTGAAACATTACAAGTCGGCTACCCAAGAATAGGCTGTTGAAATAATCCCCCAAATAGAAGTGCTGCAAGCAATTTGCATGCACTCTGCTTTAAAAAAACCAAACAAATTATGCAAACCTAAAGCTTAAATGGTCTTTAAGATGCATTTTGACGATGCTATTGGAGATAAGAGTTTTCTGTGGTTAGTGTACTGTTAAAAATTCACCCTGCTGTACCAAAACTTTGTAATTCATGGGAAAATACTTCATGGACAAGGAACTACCTAATTTGGCAGCTGTGTTCCTTATGTGACCTCAATTGTATTAATTTGCCTTGCAGCCATTTAATATATTTTAATGTGAGCTCCGTTTTGAGGACTTGAACGAGGCTAAGCGATGCAAACTGCTGCAGGCCCTCTGAGCAAAGGGGAATTTGACCCTAGCTATATAGTGATTTGTGTTCCTGGCTGTGGGATTTGGATAGTCTGTCTATATTACTCTATTCTGAATGTCTTTCTAAGCATTCCTGAGAACCTTGGTCTGGTTTTCAAAAGGTATTTAGATATTCATGGCTATGCAGAGATGCTTACTAGAGTTTATAATAGTGGTGGGGCTGGGGTTCTTTA